GTGCCGTAGCGTCACAGCTCACAGCAACCTCAAACTCTTGGGCTCAAGCAGTTCTCTTGCTTCAGCCTCCCAAGTAGCTGGGACTATAGATGCCCACCACAACACCTGCCTATATTTTTTTGTTGCTGTTGTACCGTAGTTGTCATTGTTGGTTAGCTGGCCCATGCTGGGTTTGAACCTGCCAACTTTGGTGTACATGGCTGGTGCTATAACCACTGTGCTATGAGCACCAAGCCTGGCTCACACATTTCTATTGGACAGTGCCAGTCTTTGTCTTAAATCCTTCGCCCCTCCTTCAGAATTTGGCTTAAATATCATGCTTCCCTGAACTAAAGTCTTTTATTTTTATTTCATTTCACAACTATGTGTATGTGCTAGTGGTTTGTTCACCCTTGACTCAATCCTTTTGTAATTATATGTTTGTTTGGATGATTACTTGCTACATGCCTGTCTTCCCCACTAATCTCTAAGCTCCCTGGGAGCAGGACCTGTGCCTATGGCTCCCCGCCGGAACCAATAGAGCCTGGCACAATTTTTAGAATGCTACAAGAAGTCATTCCATCCATGACCCTGCCTTTGGGCAGGACTGTCCCCAGCATCTTAGAGAGCCTACATACTCCCTTACAAGGGCCATTATAACCTTCAGTACAGGCAGCCCCCAAGTTTCAAACATCTGACTTAAACATGACTCACACATACAACAGGGGCTATTACAGGTAATAGGTAAATGTACTTGCTCCAACTTACATACACATTCAACTTAAGAACAAACCTACAAACCCAGAGACCTACGAACCCATTTGCAATCCAGGGATTGACTGTATGTAGAGTTTGCTGTTCCCAGATGGAAAGTCATCTTTTATAGATGACCAGAATTTCTCCTATTGCAAGCTGGCCAGGGCCCTTTGTTCCAGCCTTTGGGGATAAATTGGAGCACACTTCTCAAACTTACATGTACATCCAGAATGTACAGAATCCAGTCATCCAGAATCTTGTTAAAACACAGATACTGGCTCCTCAGATCTAGGGTGGGATCCGAGATTCTCACTCCTAACATGCTGTCTAGTGACATTGCTGCTGATGCACAGACCACTCTCTGAGTAACCAGGATGTAGAGAAGCTATTTAGCCCCAAAGTTTTCTTCCTGCTCTGGATCTTCTGTTGAGAAAGCTATTGGGGGTCTCTTGAAATTCAGCCCTGTCCACTTTACCTTAGAAATGAAAACAATACAGGCAGGATGCAGTGGACATGCCTGTAATCCCAGCACTCTGGGAGGCCAAGGCAGATGGATCCCTTGAGCTCAGAAGTTCGAGACCAGGCTAAGCAAGAGCAAGACACTGTCTCTAAGAACTATCTAGGCATTGTGTTGGGTGCCTATAGTTCCAGCTACTTGGGTACTTGAGAGGCTGAGGCAAAAGGATCTCTTGAACCTAAGAGTGTGAGGTTGCTGTGAGCTATGATGTCACAGCACTCTACCAAGGGTGACAGAGTAAGACTCTGTCTCAAAAAAAAAAAAAATGAAATGAAAACAATGTAACCTAAGCATTTGTACCCTCATATTAATCTGAAATTCAAAAAAAAATCAAACCTGTAAAAAAAAAGTTAAAAGAGAAGGAAAATAATTAAGTTACAAAAAAGAAAAGAAATCCAGCCGGGTCCCCTCCTACTTCCATCTGTACCTCACCAATCCTTGCTTCCTGAAAAGGAATGTGGTGCCTGTGGCTACTGCTGTTGTTAAATTTTTTTTTAATTTGAAATAAACTTTAAGCAGTTTTCAGAGTCAGGATAGCCCTGATAGGTACCATGGATGTGTAACAATACCCTCCAACAATAAAGTCACACAGCTGGGAGTGCCCGACAAGGTAGGGAGAAGACTACTCCCCTGGGGCCCAGCAGTCCTCAAGCTTTGGCTCCCATCTGCCACCAGCCAGTCCAATCCCAGTAGCTCATCCCAGCAGGCTCCACTCTGCAAAGCTTGGGCTCGGATGCTGGGACACATTCTCTCTGACATGTCCATCCACAGGGAGCTTTGTAAACGAAGTGTGCACGGCTGGCCTGAGGGATGGAAGTGTCTTCTAGTGGCCTCAGTTGTGTGTGTGTGCATGTGTGTGTACACACAACACATGTGTGCGTGTATGTATGGTTGCATATTTGGACAAGGATTTGTGTGTCTGTGTGTGCATGGATGGATGGAGTGTGTGTGTACATGTTGCCCCCCATGCTCCAGTTCAAGAAAGCTTTCATCACACAGAGCAGCGCTGGACTCCTGCACAGCCCAGAGACTGGACCATGTCCCTAGGTAGTCCCCGTAGATATGAGCGGCCCCACCGTCCCTTGCTGCTGCTGTTGTTGCTGCCCCTTGCGTCTCCGAGAGCCAGTGCCTGGCTCCTTGCTCTCCTTCCTGGCAGGGTTCTTGTTGACATTCTCCTGCCGGCCCTGGCTGCCCTTCCTCCTCTTCTGCCCTGTAAGAAGCCAACAGCAGGAAGAATCAACCACGGATGTGCAGGGAGGCTCTGGGCATGGCTGAGGGCCCTGGGAGGGAATGTGAAGAAGCTGAAGGAGGGTGCGGAGCAAGGAGCAGGCCTCCTCTGACCAGCAGCCACTTCAGAGGATGCTGCCACACAGGCACTAAGAAGGATCTCAGGGGCCTTGCCACCCTCCAATCCTCGATGCCCACAGGAACATCATGGCTTCCTCAGACCTTGGATCCTGATGGGCCAAGAGCACTTCCCAGGTGTTTGATGTGGCCCTCAGGACAGGCAGGAGAGCCCTCCAGTCCTACTCCCCACCAGCTGCCTCTAGGGTCAGGCAATCAGTAGCAGCCACCTCACTGTCAATGAAGGCTGTGTGACCTTGGTGGAATCACTACACCTCTCTGGTCTTAGCGCCCCTTTCCACCCCCACATCTGACTGTGGGAGCCCTCTTAGAGTGAACATCCACTGGCTCAGAAGAAGTGAAGAAACTATAGAGATACTGATCACAGGAGCTTGTGGCTTTCAGCACAGGGAGCTCTGAGGCCTCGCTCCACCTGGCCATGGCACTTAGCTGGAAGGGGCATGAGGTCTCAAGTTGACACTCTGTCTGGCCTCACCCTAGGACCCTCTCCTGAGCAGAGGTGATGGGACCTGCCATGGCTAGCACCTGAGCCCCGACCCCTAGCTGCAGCTCACCCTCAGGACATGGTATCCTCTGCACTGTGCACCTCCGGGTCTCCTGGGTGTCGGTGCAGGGGGCCTGGTCCCCCCCAGTGCCATGGAGCACCCTGCGTGTCCGCTCCTGGAAGCCCCTCCGGAAACCACAGAACTTGTTCTTCTTGGAGCAGAGCCCCCACGGGGACCACTCACTCATTTCACATTGTGCTGGCAGCAAGGGAAGGGAAAGGGAGAGAAGGATGATGTGGAGGGGGTCGTGTCCCCTCCCACAGCCCGGAATACTCCAGGGGAATCTCCGCCACCTGCCCTCTGCAGAGCTTTAGCCCAGAGGGCAGAAAACTCCTTAGAGAACCCCAAGCTGGTAGTGGTGGGGCAAGCTCTCCTAGCACAGCACCCCCAGCCACACAAACCCTGGCCAGACCCCACCCTACCCCTTCTCCTGGGGTCCTGTACCCTCTGCCTGCAGTGCCCACCACAGCTTACCAGGACTGCTGCACTCCATGGTGCCGTTGGCAGCTGAGAAGCCCTTGGGACACACTGGGTAGCAGCGGCCCTTGTGCAAGTACAAGCCGTCCTTACACTTGGTGCAGAAGTTGTGGCTGAAGCAGGCCTCACAGTGCTCAATCTTGCATTCTGAGGAGAGAATGGATTGGGGGCCTCTGGCCCAGCCTGGAGAGGACATTCCCCCTTCTCTCCCCAGCCCCAGTGCCCTCCATCCACACCCACGCACACAGAGAGGGCAAGGGCAGGCAGGGGGAGGGGCTGAAGCAGCCACCCTTGAGGTCAGTTGGGATGCTTGTTGCCATCGGCCAACCTAACCTGAACCCAATCTCAGGCCCTGGAGCCCAAGGTTGGGCCCCAGAGAGGAGAAGGGTGAGGTCCTTACGGCTTGGCAGAGTGAGAGAGGAGTGTTTCAGCATTTCATAGCGTCCCAAGGGCCACCCTAATGAAAGTTGAACAGAAATCAAATGACCCCCATGTGATCCCCTCTTCCCCCAAACCTTGGTTTTGTCTTGCTTGAGGCAGAAAGAATCTGCTTGGAAGAGTGGGAGCAATCCCAGGGAAAATTCCTCTCTTTGTACAAGGCTGAGATCCTGGAACCACCTTGGTTGGACTCCTGGGTCCCTCCTACCAGCTCTCTCCTCTGGGGGACTAGGGGGAGGGTGGGCCGTGCAGGGCTTGTCTGGAAGCAGACAGTATCTTTCATAACCTCTCCCTTCCCAGAGTATGGGTGAGGCTGACTTCTTCCTGGTCTCTGGCACCTGAAGCCCAGGCTGCCAGTTTCCCAGGAGTGGGCACAGCCATGAACTCCCTACCTCAAATACTCAGAGGACCAATAGGGCAGCTCCCAGGGTCCCCTGTCCTCATAAACTCCCCACCCTCCTTGTACCTCCCGGCCTCTGCGGCTTTGTCTCTGTCTCACCCCCCTTCTCCCTTGACAGGAGCTTGTGGCTTTCACTTGTGGCTTGACTCTTTGATCCTGAGCTTAGATGCCAGTAAAATAAGACCAAAAAATAAGAACAATAGCAGCTACCATTTATTAAGTGCCAGACAGTGTGCATCTCACAACAACCCTAGGGGGTAAGAACTCATATTCCCATCTTAAAGATGAGGTGTTGAGAAGCTGAGACGTGCTCAAGGTCACACAAGGCTGAGTAACAGAGTTGATGCCAAAGCCCAGGCTGCTAACCCTGGGCCAGTCATTTCGCCTTGAGCCTTGATGTTGTCAGCTCTAAAAAGGGCACCATCACTTTTTCCCTGTCTCCTTCCAAAGGTAGTTGTGAGACAGCTGATACGAGATCTGGAAACGCACTCTAAACTGCAAGGCACTGAACAGGAGGGCGGGAGTGTTGGCATTGTTCCTTCGAGTTCATTCCCTGTGTGGCCCCTAGAGTGTCACAGCTGTGGCTATAGAGATGGGATGCAGATATGATAGCACGTGCCTTGGAGCACATGGAACTGTGGCTGGCATGGAAAAGCAGAGCCAGAAGACCGGGGGAGGAGAGGGTGGGAGAGCGTGCTGACAGGGCTTGCCTTTCCCCGCAGTGTGGAGCCAATAGTGCTTTTTAAGAAGTGTGTTGGCATAGGTTGTGTGTCTGAGAAGCATCTTTCTGGCTGCAGTGCAGTGGGAGGGTTTCAGAGATCCAGAGCAGGGCAGTTGAAAGGCTATTGCAATGGTCCAGGAGAGCAGTGCTGGGAAGTTGGGTGAGACAGCGGCAGTGAGAATGGAAAGGGGATGAGTGGGCAGGATCTGGTGATTGGCTGGATGAGCTGGCCGCACAGATGAAGGCTGTGGCTTGGGTGATGGGTTGGGACACGAGATTGTGACCCATGGGAGTACCAGTAGACGCAGGCTGGGAGGGAGGAGCCGAGTTTGTGGTGTGGACACTAGGTAGGAAGCGTGGGTGAGATACTTGCATTGGGAGCTTCTCCTCCCCTCAGCGTCCCCTCAACTCCTCTTGTCAACTGAGCACAAATGGTTCAAAGCACCCTCCCCCGGCCCAGAGCCTGAGCCCTCCGCAGCCCTGCCCACAACTCACTTATGCACTTGTTCATGTCGGGGTTGCGGGCGTCGAAGAATCCAGGAGGGCAGGATGGCAGGCAGACGCCCACCTGGCGGATGTCGTTCCTCTCCAGCAGGATGAACAGCTTGGGCGAGCACTTGAGACAGCCGTTGACCTCTGAGCAGAGCTCACAGCCCTTGGAGCAGGTCTGGCTTCCCTCAGAACTGACTGCAAAGGGCCAAGCCAGGGTGAGAAGTCGGCTGAAGCAGAGAGCCCATCTTCCCAAGCTCCCACTCAGGCAGGACGTGAGTAGGCTGGAGTTTCCTTCTACTGGAGGAAGGCGCTTCTCAGAAGCACAGGCCAGGCTGGCAGCTCCCTGCAAGGCTGCTTTATAAATGTTCCCAGTACCTTCTCCCCAGAGAACTAGCACAGATGCCTGAGCAAGATCACCCATGGGTCCCACGTGCCTGCCTAGCTCCAGGCACAACACAGGCTCATCCTCTAGGCTTGCACCACCATCCCTGGAGAAGCAACTGAAGCTGCACCCTTCCTGGAACTATCCCTACTCTCCCTAGAGCAAGAAAAATTCAGCCTCAGGCATGGAAGGATAGTTTTTCTTGTAGCTGTTATTCTTTTATACCCAAGAAAGTTGAGAAAGTTTTAAGGACAAGAGGGGTAAAGCATTAAGCTGGGAAAAGAGCCACCTACCCAGAGATAGGAAGGCAACTGGAATAAACAACGACTAGAACAACGGTCTCAACTGGAGATGATTTTGCTCCTCCCCAGGGGACATTCGACAATGCCTAGAGATGATTTATTAGGTCTAGAGGAGAGGGGAGAGGGGCTGTTACTGGCATTAATGGGGTAGGGGGTCACAGACGCTGCTAAAGATCCTACAATGCATAGGACACATATTTGGTCCAAAATGGCAAAGTCACCAAGGATGAGAGGCTCTGGCTTTGAACCATGCTTTGAAGCAGCATGGTCTTCCATCCCAGCACCAAGTCTCAGAACACTGATCTCATTCCTTCCAACACTCACTGAGCTTCTGCCGGGCACCACATGCAATGTGAGCCCTGCACTGGGCTGCGCAGCAAAGGAACTCATCTCTAGTGGAATAAACAGACCCACAAACAGGTACAAGGCCATGCAGTAGTAGACCCAAAAAGAAGGAGTGAAAGGATTCACAAAGGAGGTGCCATTGGGGCTGACTCTTGAAGAATAATAGTAGAGATTTGTCCTTTAGGAAGTAAAAACAAGGAGCAGGACCACCATGGAGGTGCAAACCTACCCAACAGGAGGAAATGCAGATAATTTGGGGTGGAGGTAAGAACGGGAGGGGAGTGGTGAAAAAATGAGTCCTATGTTTATATCCTATGATGCTAAAGAACTTGAAACTGATGCTGCCAGGTGACACTTCCCAAAGAGCGTTCCTCGGAACGTGATTCTCATTAATAGGACGATGTGGAAAAACGATTCTGCATTAAGTAAGACCAGGAGCCAGAGGTTCAAACAAATCTAAACAAAATTCTTCACGATAGCCCCTCTTGCAACCTTTACTATGTTCCTGCGTAGAGTGATTCTTTTTTATTTATTTATTTATTTTGAGACAGAGACTCAAAATGTTGTCCTGGATGCAGTGTTGTGGCGTCACAGCTCACAGCAGCCTCAAACTCTTTGGCTTAAGTGATTCTCCTGCCTCAGCCTCCCAAGTCGCTGGGACTACAGACGCCCGCCACAACGCCCAGTTTTTTTTATTGTTGTTGTTGCAGTTGTCATTGTTGTTTAGCTGGCCCTGGCCGGGTTCGAACCCTCTAGCCTGGGTGTATGTGGCTGGTGCCCTACCCACTGAGCTACAGGCACCACCTGTAGAGTGATTCTTTAAGGAGGACGAGTGAGCCATGTTTCCTAAACATTTTGTCCACAGGACACTTGTTTTGCAGAGTCTTCCTCAGGACCTTCTCAGAGCTATTTAGACAGCAGGAAGCCACTGGAGCATTTTAAGCAGGGATGAGACCCAGTCCCATTTACTTATTGGAAAGATTTCTAGGGCAGCCAGGGCACGGATCAAAGTCAGACTTTTGGGGAGGAAGCCAACTACATCATCCAGGTGAGAAAGGGGAGACAGTCTTAAAATTCTGTTCAGAGAAAATGGAGGGAAAAAGATTTGAGAGGTGCTCAGAGAATGCAGTCAGCAGGCCAGAATGGCTAGAGAGAAGAGAGAGGTGGGGAGCAGGCTGGGGGATGCCCAGCTGTTTGGCCTAGGGTGTGGGGAAATGTGAGGTCAGACAAGAAAAGAGGCCCACGGAAAGAGAAGCAAGTTGAGATGGAAGCAGAGGATGGGAAATACAGACAGGGTGCCAAAAAATACATACACATTTTAAGAAAGGAAAAAAACTATATTAATATATACCAATAACAAAAGATGAATACAAGTCACGTTCAAGCACCTTTTGTAATTGCAGAACTCAAACACACCTTGATTCCCATCACTGTCACCTAAAGAAAAAAAGTGACTTGAGTATTACAGTTTTTTTTTTTTTTAGACAGAATCTCACTTTGTCACCCTCAGTAGAGTACCATGGCGTCATAGCTCACAGCAACCTCAGACTCAAGCGGTTCTCTTGCCCCAGCCTCCCAGGTAGCTAGGACTACAGGCACTTGCCACAATGCCTAGCTATTTTTAGAGAAGGGGTCTCGCTCTAGCTCAGGCTGGTCTCAACTCATGAGTTTAGGCGACCTTCCCTCCTCAGTCTCCCAGAGTGCTGGGAATGAGCCACCATGTCCGGCCCCCATTTTTTTTCTTTCTTTTCTTTTCTTTCTTTCCTTTTTTTTTAAAGACAGTCTCACTCTGTCACTGTGGGTAGAGTGCTGTGGCATCATGCTCACAGCAACCTCAAACTACTCCTGGGCTCAAGCGATCCTTCTGCCTCAGCCTTCTGAGTAGCTGGGACTGCAGGCATGCACCACTACGCCTGGCTAGTTTTTCTGTTTTTAGTAGAGTCAGAGTCTCGCTCTTGCTCAGGCTGGTCTCAAACTCCTGAGCTCAAGCAATCCACCATGCGAGGCTGAGTATTACAATTTTAATACAGTTTTTTCCTTTCTTGAAATGTGTATGCCTTTTTCTGTCATCTGTCATGAGGAGCCACTGAGGAGGAACCACAGTGAGGAGCAAGGACCATCTGCACAGAGATGGCAGGAGTCAGTGGGTACCGCTGACTCAGAGCTCAGACTTTAGAGCTAATTTCCCAGTCTGGGCACCTGGGAAGAAGGTGGAATCCCGTGCGCCTCCCTTCCCATCCCTGCAAAGGAAGATAAGGATGTCCACTCCCGAGGACTGCTGGGAGAGATGGAGAGTTCTGTGCTCCAGGAATGGTTCCCACTCTCAGAACAGGAGAATGAGTAGAAGTTAGAAAGGAGACAATCACAACAGTCATCATAATGACACACTAATAACCACAACAATGGCAGTGTGTCACTAACTGCCAGGCACTGTCCTTAGTGTTTAATGAGTATAATTCACAGAAGGCTTTCAAAAACCCACCAGATATGTACTATTGTGATTGTTATTATTTTACTTTTTCTTTTTCTATTCTTATTTTTACAGATGAAGGAATGGAAAGGATAAATTACTTGAACAAACTTTCTCAGCTGGTATGAGTTTCAGGCAGAGCCAACAAAGTGTATATGAAGGCTAGGATAGGATGATATAAGGTCACACGGAAACTGAAAGTATGGCCAGGCCAGGAACACTGGCTCAGGCCTGTGATCCTAGCACTCTGGGAGGCCAAGGGGGTTTGGATTGCTTGAGCTCATGAGTTCAAGACCAGCCTGAGAGTGAGACCTCGTCTCTAAAAATTAGCTGGGCACTGTGGCCAGCGCCTGTAGTCTCAGCTAATTGGGAGGCTGAGACAAGAGGATCTCTTGAGCCCAGAAGTTTGAGGTTGCTGTGAGCTATGACATCACAGCACTCTACCTACAGTGACAAAGTAAAACTCTATCTCAAACAAACAAACAAAAAAAAAGAAAACTGAAAGTATAGTAAGGCTAACTTTTTTTTTTTTCAGACAGAGTCTCACTCTGTTGCCCAGACAGAGTGCAGTGGCATCAGTCTAGCTCACTCCAACCTCAGACTCCTGGGTTCAAGCAATCCTCCTGCCTCAGCCTCTTGAGTAGCTGGGACTACAGATGCCTGCCACAAGGCCCAGCTAATTTTTCTATTTTTAGTAGAGATGGGGTCTTACCCCTGCTCAGGCTCAAACTCCTGAGCTTAAGTGATCCTCCTACCTCAGCCTCCCAGAGTGCTAGGATGAAAGGCATGAGCCACAATGCCTGACCTAGACTAATTTTTTTAAAATATGGAATTTATGGCCAGCCACAGTGGCTCATGCCTATAATCCCAGCACTTTGGGAGACTGAGGCTAGAGGATCATTTGAGGCCAGGAACTTGAGACCAGCCTAAGCAGCATATAGGGAGACCCCATCTCTACAAAATTTCTTAAGAAATTAGTGGGGGGAGGGGTCAGGCATAGTGGCTCACGCCTATAATCCTAGCACTCTGAGAGGCCTAGGAAGGTGGATTGCCTGAGCTCACAGGTTCAACACCAGCCTGAGCTAGAGCAAGACCTCGTCTCTAAAAATACCTGGCCATTGTGGCAGGTGCCTGTAGTCCCAGCTACTTGGGAGGCTGAGGCAAGAGAATTGCTTCAGCCCAAGAGTTTGAGGTTGCTGTGAGCTATGATGCCATGGCACTCTACCAAGGGTAAGAAAATGAGACTTGCCTCCAAAAAATATAAAATAAAATAAAAATTAGCAGGGCATTGTGGTACACACCTGGAGCCCCAGCTATGTGGGAGGCTAACGTGGGAGGATGATTTTGCAGTGAGCTATGATGACACCACTGCACTGTAGCCTGTGCAACAAAGTGAGACTCTGTCTGAAAAAAAGAAAAGTGATACCTGTATAGAGTTGATGTTGCTATTTAAATAATTTAATCAATAAATTTAAAAATTACTACTGTTCTTATTGTATAGTCATTGTATGAGCAAAAGTACTCCAAACACTGTATTGAAGCTTCTGAGGGAGTCCCTGGGATTAATTTTCTTCTACTTTAGGCCTTTATTCAGCTGGATCACAAATAAATCATCCTAGTTTAGGAACCATCTCCACTTCTATGATATTGAATCTTCTATTATTCCACTTTTTAAATCTAATTTGTTATTGAAGTG